GCAGTAGGTGTCGGTAGGGCGGCAGAGAGAGGATTTCGGAGACGTAGGGGCAACGGAAGGAAGATACGTTAATCAATGTATGCGATTGCATTGCATGTTAGAGGAAAAATAGTTGCTAAAATTAAGGAGCAGTTTCTTTTTATACATCTAAATGATGGCCAGACCAGATGTAGCTTGCCAGCCTAGACAAGGTGCTCAGAGCTTGCCCCTCCGGAAGCAGGGGAGCGTTGGGGCCAGGAGGGCCCCCCTTGGCTGGAGGGATGGCAGAGCTGCCGGCACAGCTTCGCTGACCGCCGAGCCAGGCTGTGGCCTCTAGCTCATGTATAAACATCTACGCTGTAGATGGCTAAAACCAGTGAGACAAATCATGCTAAATCAGTATAATCTCATCTTGTACATGACAGCATGTACGCTGTAAAGGGAAGTCTTCCCTTTGGCTTCCAAACCTGTAGCAAACAGTTCATCCAGGCTGGTTGCATGATCAGCATGTACAGCTCTACAGCCTGTCAACATGTACGGGGTAAAAGTGCTGAGGGCTTTCTGGCTGAGTACTTGGGATAAGACAACTAAAGAATGGCGTGTTCAAACTCTGAATAGCTTTACTTCTGACTTAATTAAAAAGACAAAAAAAAGAACTGCTGGTGGCCTCAGGGCTTTTAGGATCTATTTTTTGTAGCAATTATCGTGATCCAGATGCAGTAACTAACACTCAAAGCTTCTCAAAGTTGAATTTGAGTCATCAATGACAAAAATGGGGCTAAGTACCCAGTTCTCAAGCAAATGAAAATTTTATGTAATTGGTAATTCTTTGTGGGAATACTCCAGTGTATGGGGAAAATGCCTGTTTAGGGAGGGGGAGGTTGTACTATGTGCGTTTAAATTACAGTATAAACTCATTCTGTTTTGCCTGGTTTAGTGTGCTGCTTACATGAAAATTGAAGTTGCTGGTGGGTATTTGTTTTGGAGAGTATAAGTGAAAAACTCCATTTACTGCTCTGAAGGTCCAGCAAACTCATTGATTTTAACGCTTTCTGACGACAGTTTAGTCCTTTCAGCAATGCTGCTGTTTGTTTTAAAGAAGTCCATACTGCTGTATATTGCTCACACCTCTAGTCTGGGCTGATTTTTCCCAGCACTTGATCTGCTGCTGCTGCTGGAGAGGATGGGACACGTGGTGGAGCACACATGAAGTGAATCACAAGAATGAACACCCAGAAGTGTCTCAGTAATTCAGCCTGTGTTGTCAGGGCATGTGTCCTTCCTGAGGTGGGAGGAGACCTCTTACATCCTCACTTAAGGATGTGGTTTAGTGATGGGCTTGGCAGTTTTAGGTTTACGGTTGGACTCTATGATCTTAAAGGACTTTTCCAACCTAAATGATTCTGTGATTCCATGCACCTCTGGTTCTGGCAGCCTACAGATGTAAATATTGTGTTATTCTGAATGTGTAGGTCACACAGCAGAGACTGTGTTTGGGCATGGTGCATCCTTAGGCAGGGGATGGAATAGAAATTATTCAACATTTACTTGAGGAAGATGCAGTTCTTCAGGCTTATGGTCCAACATACCTGCTTTAAATGCAGTTTCCTGATGAAGTTTGCCTCATCATCACCATCAGATAAACCTGTAGCAATAACTGTTCATGACAGACAGGGCAGCTAAAGCAGAACATCAAACAAGGCCGCATCAGTTGGCACGTTCCCTGTCCTGGTAGCTAAGAACACCAAAGCATCTCAGTGAAAAGATGGTGTCCCCTTTGGGTGCTTACAAACTTGGTAATGCCGTGCTACTGTGGGCAGTTTGTAGACAGGTCCTCAGTGGAGGATGACGCTCAGTTGGCACCACAGCTGTTTGGCTTTTTGGTTTAGGGGATTTTTCTCCGTGCATCCCCCTTGCAGTAGATTAATGGCTTAATTAGAGTGACTGTTCTGAAGACCTCAAGAGTTTAAATTCTGGACTTGTAGGAACTACTAAGAAAAATGTGAAAGGCCTTACCTAGTACTAAATACCAATCAAAATTAGAGATTTTACTGTACTTAGGCACATACATACTATTGTCTCTGCTCTATTTAATACTTCATTAAAAAAAAAACCAACAATTTTTAGCTCCCAAATCTTAAAATAATTTATTGATTAAAAAGAGGTGAGTTGTCTCTTTCTGCGGGCATTTCACTGGCAGCAAGCATGCCTGCTTTTCACTGGAGCTCTGAGAAACCAGCTCCATTGAGTAGTAGCCTTCATTAGCACTTCCAGAGGGTTTGTTTTTGCCTTCACACTTTACCTAGCTCAGGAGAGTGTCATGTTGGTGAGGCTGTATCCTGTGCTAGCGTTGGCTTTTGCCCTTCCTCTTGCCCAGATGAAGGGAGGTCCTCTGCAGCCTGGGTGACGCTGTACTGTAAAAATTTGCATTGTGCAGTGGGAATTTTGCATACAGTGGTTTTGGAAGACAGGTCCCATTCCAAAAATAAACAGTTACAAATACAGGACAGTTTTTCCAGGGCTTTGGTTTTATGCATGATGACCCTCTATCTGTGTCCTAGTGGTGTGTGCTGTTCTTTCCAACTTATTTTGACCCATCTTGTCACAAGTAAATGTTTTACACCAATGCTATGAGCTGTGGTGCAAGCAGACTGTGAATGCTATAAGCGAACTGGAAATTGAACATAAATTTTGTGAAATTACTGCAGCATCATGTCAAATTATTGCAATGTGCGACTTTACGTGACAAAAAGGCAGTGGTAATGGAAAGTAGATTACAGTACAGATCCACAGTGGTTTTGTTTGTGGCATGGACACAGCTCCCCATGTAACTTCTCAGTCATGGTTCCATTCAAAACATTGAATTTTTTGTACAAATTAGGGTCTTCATGAGGGCTGCACAATGTTGGCAATGGAGTAGAAGTATTAACAATAATCCAAAGTCACTGCTATCAGTGATTCTATTTAAAAAAAAACCAATCAAACAAAAGACTTCTGCCGCTGATTTTTGACTGTGCAGTGGAAATGCTGGCTGGATGCCGAACACAAGGTCTGGTAACTGCGTGTTCCAGTTTTATTTTCTTTTGGTTCCGAAATCTTACCCCTTGATCACAGAAGTACCACCTAAAATTCCTCATGCTTTTACCATGGCTAGGTAACTTCTTCATCGATGATGCAGTTCTCATCTCCCATTGTCCAAGGGCTAGATCCGGCATCAGGGGGAATCCTGTACCAAAGAAGAGTATTCGGGTAAAGAGACAAGCGGCAAAGCTCATAACTACAAAGTACCTCATTCTTGTAATGCTGGTTCTTCCACTACACTAGGATATTGAGCACTTTTAATTTGGAAAGGTTTCTTGCTCTTCAGCTATGGTATTTTTCTGGGTCTTCCCAGAAAAAGGTGACTTCCCTGTCCCCACTCCCAGAGAGAGATAGCTCTTCTCCTAACCTTTTCTTCTGAACTCTGCCGCTCGATTGTTTAGGGTTTGATGTCTTTATTTTTGAATCATGGAATTCATGTTGGGGTTTCAATGAACTTGAAAGAAGTAAAGCTGTAGCGGGTAGCAAATGTGATACGTCTTTGTTTTATGAATTTCTTAGACCTTTACAGTAAAAAACAACACTGAAAGCCCTGCTGAATGATGTTGGATGCTTCACTGCACCAGCAGTACTTTTTAAATTTCGACTTCTGTGGCTCTTGGGGGGAAAAAAAGCTACCTTTGATATTTTAGAGAATCTAATAATTTAGATAGCCATTTTGTTAGCTTCCCTGCTGTTTCACCAGGAGATGAACCAGACATTTAAAGACTTCGGTGTGTTTCAATTCTGATTACATTACTGATAGACTCTGTCTTTGCAATTTCTGCTAAGTCTAATCTCATATTGAAGCGCGTATTTTTACGTTAAAAGAGAGACTTAGAAGGCTGATTTTTTTTTATTTATTTATTTTGGGTTTTTTCATGCTTTTCACTTGTGTACTTTACTTTTTATTAAACTCTTAGGAATACATTATAATATGAAAAAAATAGCATGTTTAACATGTTGCAGTGTTAAATAATAAAATTCTGTGGTCCATGGCGTGAAATTATATGAGGTAGAACTTCAAATGTTATAAAATTGCTTTGTAAATGCCTTTTGAGAAATATTTTGCAGGACTACTTACTTCATGTTCTACTAACGTAATCTGTATAAAGCTGTCTTTAAGCTTTGTAGTCTTCCTTATAAGTGACAGCTTTTTGCCTGTCATCCTTGGAGTAGAAAAGACCATCCCCCATGGTACTTGGGTTACCCTCATTGTGGTGTTTGGGGGCATAATTTGTTGTCTCCATGGACTGAGCAGCCTTGCTCAGCTCATTAATGATAACAGAAAGGTAAAGGGGGGGAAGGCAGAGCGGTTTGACCGAACTCAGAGTGGGATGGAGGAGGTGAACAAGGGCAAGAGTTCACTGTTACTTCTTGTTCAAGAGCTAGGTAGGGTGTTAAATGAGACTGGCAGGCAGCAGGTTCAGGACCAACAAATACAACTACCTTCTCAGCAGTGAGGCTGTGGAAAGGCTTGTCACAGGATGTTGTGGAGGCGATGCACAGGTTTACATGGATTCAGTGGCAATTTGACAGTTGCTACAGGGTTTATAAATACAGAAATGTGATCTTCAGTTGAATGAATATTAAGGTTTGATCCTGGAATCACAGCACTACAAGGGAAATTGGATGATTGTAATGCATTCTGTGGTTTTAGACAATAAAAGCTTTGATAGAGTTTAGTTGATGAAAATAATTGTGTAAGTAATTCGTCTTTTCTTCACTTGTCCAGATCAGATGAAACTGCAGATGACACGGCCAAAGTCAAGAAAATGCATGAACTGATGAGAAACAGCATTGCCTTCTGAGAACATTAGCCTCCTAGTTGCTGGAAATCCTAAGTGCAACTTTACTATCAAAAGAGATCCTGATGTTAGGTGATCATTGAGCAGAGTTTGCAAGAATGGAAAAGCAAAGAACCCCACTAGCTGTATCACATAAATAAAAATTTCCAAGATTCAGACGAATTAAAAAATTATTCCCGCCATGGGAGAAAATGCAAGTTTTTGGGAAAGTTTGATATATGCACATCCTACCTGTACCACCTGGAAGCAGGAGGCAGAGGGATCTATCTACCACCTAGCCAGTATTCTCTTTGTTGTGGGCTTCATGGGTGGAAGTGGATTCTTTGGGCTTCTCTATGTCTTCAGCTTGCTTGGATTGGGCTTTCTTGGCTCTTCTGTTTGGGCTTGGCTAGATGTCTGTGCTGCTGATATATTCTCCTGGAATTTTATACTGTTCGCTATATGCTTCGTCCAGTTCATTTACGTTACCTACCAAGTTCGGAGTGTTTCCTTTGACAAAGAATTCCAGGAACTCTACAGCGCACTCTTCCAGCCTCTGGGAATTTCCTTGACTGTCTACAGGAAGATCGTCTTGTGCTGTGATGCAGAAGTGGTCACCCTGGAGAAGGAACATTGTTACGCCATGCAGGGCAAAACACCTATTGATAAACTGTCCTTGCTTGTGTCAGGCAGGTTTGTATTGGTTTGTTCAGACTTACTGCAAATTTCTTTATTTTTTCCTCCTTCTTGAAAATGAAAGCAGAAGAAAATGCTTCATTTGTGTATTGTTTGTTCATTTTCCAGTACAATAGATTAAATATTAATGCAAGTAATATAAATATTAATAGGCTAAATACACTTGTCTAGGACAGCACTAGCATAAAAACACTAAGCACAAAATCTGTAATAGCATAAAGAAAATAATTTTCAGTCATTCTTTTCCAGACCACTGTATCATAGCACTTAACAGGTTAGGCAGATAAAGGGAACAAATGTGTGCCTCAGTCTTCAGGCTCTGGTTTGCTATCTATCTACTGCCTAGCTGATGAACCCTCTCTCTTGTTTTTCTTTGCTAGTATCATCTGAAACAGGACTAAAAGGTAGTTATGAAACTGGATATACTGAGATAAACTGTATTTAATAGAGATCTTGACTTTGATACCGATTGTATTTGGTTGCTTTCTGGGGGGTGAGAGAAGAGAGGGAGTAAGGGAGAGGAGGCGGCCTACAAGTGCCCTTCTGTTATGAGGGGATATAGTTGCCCCCATCAGGATTTGCAGACTCAGTTCTGCAAATAAATCCACCTTCTTGTACTCCCTGCTTACTTGAGACCCTTCTGGCAACCTTGCTGATGCTCTCCTGAAGGGAAATACTGGCTTTCGTAATACATACAAAGTGGTATACACTACTGAACTACCACAAGAGTAGGAGGGAGACCCAGAGATGATAGCCATGGTCTGTCTTTGATGGGACACATTGTAGGTGCATATTGACAGCCTGCTGCATGGACAGATGGAATCTGTAGGCAGCTCGAAACCCAGATGATTTAGGACTACTTGCAATGAACAATATGGATTTTTGGTAGTTGGCCCTAGTGAGACCCGGGTTCACAGCATTCCTGGGAGCTGTCTAGAAAGTGCAACGTAGAGGTTGGTTTTGGTCATAGTCGTACTGAAGGAGACGTGTCCATCCGTATACATGCCCAGCCAGTTAGTAATCATGCAGGGAGTTCCTGCTACCCTCCTTCGTGCGGTATAGGGCTGCCTCTTCTGATTTTGGAAAAAACATTAATCTCAATGCAGAGCAGACATAAGAAGGGAACTCCTACAGCTTGCTTTTTTTCTTTTTGCTCATGAGGTTCAACCATACATTTCCTACTTGTGTGCCTTCAAAATTAAATATGATTAAAAAGTAGAATGGAAATTTTTCTTTGGCATCTGCAGGAAAGCCACAGCATTCACATAGAGATCCCATACCTCTGTGCTGTTCCCCCAGCTCGAGAGAGAGTCCTGTGGCTGTGTAATTCCCGTTAAACATTGAGAGCGCCCTACCTAACGCATGCCATGGGGAGCTCCTGCTTCCCACTCCCTTCTTTTGCCACTTTGTTCCCTCTAAAATGTGTGTTTGCCAAGCCTAGAAGTATATCACATGGCTTTCAAGTGAAGGAGGCAGAGATGTGTGCATCTCCAAGTGCACGCTGGCCTTTTCGTAGCAAAGCTTGCATGTTGCCGCATGGACCTGCCCTAGAGAGGGTCATATGGCTTGAATAAGGCCTGGGAAGATTTCCATTTCAGTTGCATGATGGTCTTGTATTCTCGTTCAACTGGCCTGGTCAAGTTGTGTTCAAAAATATAATTAGGATACTGTTGGCCAGTGATTGCTTTTTCATGCTCTCAAAGCTACATTTAAATGCCTGACATAGTAGAAATAACACATTCTTGTTGCAGCCATTGCTGCTGTACAGGTAGTACTAACAAATTAACACATCTTATCTTGGTAGGATCAGAGTGACAGTTGATGGGGAGTTTCTGCATTATATTTTTCCTCTTCAATTTCTGGATTCTCCTGAATGGGATTCACTGAGGCCCACAGAAGAGGGAATTTTCCAGGTAAAAGCAGAGGGGTTTTTTGAATACTACAGAAAACTGTTCATGTGCTAATTGGTAAACTTCATTTAGTGGTGGGTTTTGTTTGTGAAATTACACAAACAGGTAGCATTCCACTGTTTTGGGGAGGAAAGTCCTCTTTACCCGCTGGACTGGTTATGCCATTTGTATCTTCCTTCTGTTTGCAATTCGTCGTTGCAACAAACGGGGTTTTTCTTAAAGCTAATCGGGGAGGGAGGCTCTGTTTGCATTCTTTGGCTGTGCTAAAATCCAGCCCTGAGAAACCAGGTTTGCAGGAAGTGGGTGGAAGTTGGTGCTGAAGAGGCTTCCCAACGGCAGGTGAAGCGGAGAGCACGGGCTGGGGAGAGGCGTGCCCGTGGCAGAGCTTGGCATGGGGGCACAGCGTGGGACACGACGTCCATCTGGGCTGCCCCCGTGATCCCCGAGCCCTCCCGCTGCTGTCACTTGATGGACGCGCTGGCTTCTGCCTGTGTGGGATCCGATGTCTCGTGTCATGAGGGCAAACGGCATTTGTCGGGAGCTTTCTTTAGACCTGCCTTTCCCGCTGGGGCCGCCGAGAGCAAAGCAGGGAGTGCAGGGCCGAGGCTGGGCCGCGCCGCCAGCCTGCGTCCCGGCTGGGGCTGCCCTTCGGTGTGGGCACAGGCGTGCTGCCACCGAGGCTGACCAGGTACAACCTGTCAGCCCGTTCCCAGTCGCCCTTCTCGCTTGTCTTCGGCGTGCAGCAGACCTCGCAGAACTCCCTGCTGGGTTACATGGCTTTAGTTGCAGCAGGTGCACAGACGCGAGGAGTGCGTCATGGACGCGGCCTGCGTGCCTGCGGGGGGTGCTTTCTGAGCAAGGGCGGCAGCGGCCATATCGCCGCCTTGTAACCCAGCTGATTTTCGTTTTCCGTTCTACAGGTAACACTTACAGCAGAGACAGATTGTCGGTACGTGGCCTGGAGGAGAAAGAAGCTGTATCTGCTGTTTGCTAAACACCGTTTCATCTCCCGCCTGTTCTCAATTTTAATTGGGAGCGACATTGCTGAAAAACTGTATGCCTTGAATGATAGGGTGCAGGTGGGGAAAGGCTTTAGGTATGACATTCGGTTACCGAACTTCTACCACGTCTCGCTGCCAGAGACCCCCCCGGTGCAGCCCTCCCACCGCCTCCAGAGAGGGTCCCCCCGCCGCCAGCCCGTGGGGGTTACAAACTGCAGCTCCTTCGGCTCACGGTCCTAGGAGGGAAAACTCTACTGCGGGCTTTCCCTGGAGCGGTGACGGGAGACACAAAGCGGGGAAGCAGAAGAGCAGAAAGATGAAGCAGAAGGAGACCCAGTCATGCCAAATTTGACTGACAAGTGCCATTTACTTTCATTGGAGTAGCTTGAATTCTTCCTCTCTCTAGAGCCAGCGGGTTGCCTTCTGCATTTTGACTGTTTTTGTGCAACATGTTTAGTTTCCATTGATTCTCTTGTTGATCTTCATCTCCTTACTTCTGGAGGAAAACAAATCATAACAGGCTGAAGATTTATTGTAATTGTCGTGGCCTCTGTGTTTGTTTTTTTACAAAAAACCATACCCACAGTATTCGTAATTATACTTTCTCAAAATTATTTGCCATGATGAAGTATGTCAGTGTAGTCAATGAAAACAAGTAAGTTGTCTTCAAAATATAACATTCATAGTTATGCCACATGAACATTGTCTCGATTAACATGAAGAATATTGCAGAAGAAGACTAAAAGACCAATTGTATTGGGTTTGTTTTTTAAAGAAATGAAAAATTTTGACATGCAGAGCAAGATTCTTAAAAAACAAACAAAAGGTAACAACAAATTCTGTCCCATGAGCAATTGGTTTCTCTCTGGCTGTCCTAAAGAGGTATTACGTGAAAACAAACATAAATGTAATTGCTGGCATTAGAAAAGTAAAGCAGTTGTAACTGCTGCTAAATGTAGCTTAGGGAAATGATTGTGTAGTGTTTCTGATAGAATGTGATGCTATAGGACCTAGGCTTCCACAATGTCAGTGCCATTCGTGACATATACAATAAATACCGTTAATCAATCAACTGCCAAACCATTGGAGTTTGTTTTACAATATCCTTTTTAGCCAAATTTGTCAGGAAGGAGCTAATTAAGAAACAGCTGCAGCAATAAATACAATTATAAACGGGATCATTCGTGTTTAGCTTCCAGAGTCACTTCTCTGTGCCTATGAAATTCTGGATTTAAAAGGTATTGTCTCCCTAATTCCGTGGTGTTTTAATGGCATAAGGGAACACCAGCTCATGCTTCAATAGGAGAAAGCTGGTTTCGACCCTTGAGGTCACTGTGCCTTTGGGGAGAAGTGTCTGAACGTCTTTGCTAACTCACCTTCCTGCTGCTATGCCTGATGCCTGCCAGTAATCAAAAAATAAGAAGCATTACTATTTTATGAGACTGTATTCCTGCTTGATAGATCTAGAGGTAGATCACATTTTTAATATTTTAAAGTCACTGGACTTTTTGGTAGGACAACCGTTGTATGTTTGTGTATGTGTGGGTATACATATGAGTTTAGATCTTGGGAGTTGTTTCTGGAGGACTTAAAATAATGATACAACCACATGCTTGAAAGATAATAATGCTGTATGTATAAGAAAGCTATTAGAAGTAATATGCAACACGACCTGTTTCAGGTGGTGTTTCAGGACCTTCAGTGTAGAACAGGTAACGTAAGAGTTTTGCTTTTAGCTTTATGTCCCTTTCTCAGTGAGGAAAATCTGCCAGACATAAGTACCATAGCATGCAATGTGATAATCCCCAAATCCTCCTAATAATCCTTCCACGAGATGTATTCTGTATGTACTACTCACTGTGTGAAGCCCCCGAGTCACAAAGCTACTTCGTGTTGGCCAAAAGAGAATTGAAAAAAATGCAAACAGAGAGTTCATTGACAGTGATTAAAGCCCGGCCCAGGAAATAACTAAGGCACAGAGTGTGTAGTAAGGATGTACAGCTGTGCGTGCCCTCTTCCTATACATTTCATCAGGTCGGAGTTAAGGGACAGGATAGCAGGCTACCGGACCCCTTGATATGACTCAGCACAGGTATTCTCACGTAACGTCAGCGCCGTGACCAGTGTTGTGTCTAATTTGTCGGCAGCACACGGTGCCCGAGGTGGGTAAGAAGTGTGTCATCTCTTGTGGATGCGGTCACTTAGGCTTGCGATCGCCTTGCGGTCCTCGCACTGCTTCACCCGGCCGAACTGCTCCTGCTGACCGTGCCGTGTGCTGAAAACCTTATGCTGGTTTTTAACAGGTGATTCAACGATAGCCCTCCAAGCTCTCATTCTGATAAAATTTCAGGTGGTATAATACGTGTTGGACCAATATGAAGTTTGTACTTAACATTTTATGTGTTAACAGTCTACAAACATAAGAAGATTATAGCCTAGAAACATGAAAATGATAGTATTCTAGACTTAAAGCATCAATTAATGCTCTCCTCAGTTTTTTTGGAACATACGAGCTTGTTCCATATATGTCTGTAAGAAAACTTGCCTTAGGGTAAGCATTTAATAAAGTAGTATGATCATCTTCAAAATAAGACCAAGGAGTTTTGCCCACCCAATTTCTGTATCAAGCTTATCTATTCTATTTAAACGATAGCATACTGCTTAGAAGGATACCTGCTCTGGAGTGCTGGGCGCTTCATTGCATACTTTGGTAATTTTTTCTTCTTCGTGACGGGTGCGGGCCTTAGTTTCAGCCTGGTTTCCAACCACAATCCTCTGTGGCATTTTTCTCTGCTGGAACCGGTTACTATCGGAAATCTCTACTAGGACATGTCTGAGTCAATATCTGAACATACTCTTAGATAACCTTGTTTAGCTTTTGCTACTGTGCTTTTTGGGCTTGAGTCGCTTTTTAAAATTCGTTTCCAGTTTTCCAGCATCTGTTTGAGTCATGACTAGCAGAACATTTCAGCTGTAGAATTCAGGGCATATATATCTACAGTAATATATGTACACACAAAAGGACTGGAAGTGAGACAGCAAGCCCTCTCCATTCCTGTTTTTAAAAATCCTGACGGCACTTCTATAATGTACTGTAAAATACGTTCTGGTATGTGACTCATAAACCAATGTTTTGGGAGAGCTGTATCATCTACTAAGTAAAGAAGTACTCAGAGTGATGTCAGTGAAATAATACAATCTTTTGCCATATATGCCCAGTCATTAGAGAGTTGAGGTTGTTCAGCCGGGAGAAGAGAAGGCTCCGGGGAGACCTTATTGCAGCCTCTCAGTACTTAAGGGGCCTTATAAGAAAGATGGGGACAGACTTTTTAGCAGGGCCTGTTGCAACAGGACGAGGGGTAATGGTTTTAAACTAAGTGGATTTAGACTAGATCTAAGGAAGAAATTTTTCGCAACGAGGGTGGTGAACCACTGGCACAGGTGGTACCACAGAGAGGTGGCAGCTGCCCCATCCCTGGAAACACTCAAGGTCAGGTTGGACGGGGCTCTGAGCAACCTGATCGAGTTGCAGGTGTCCCTGCTCACTGCAAGGGGTTGGACTAGATGGCCTTTAAAGGTCCCTTCCAAACCTAAGATTCCATGATTCTATTATTATTTATAGGTTAGTAAACAATGGGAGCTAGATGAAGCTCTCACTTGAGCATCATCCAATTTATGCCTATGTTATTACTGAGGAATAACTGTCAGTGAAGTCAGCAGGCTCCTTAATAATCAGTTCAAATGAATGGATACTTGCGTACGTGCTGCTTTGTGAATTGAGGACACTATCAATTAATCCTTTTCTCGATCTGTAGTGATTCCACTTTACTCACATTTTACATTTTTGAGAGTTCCATAATCTTATAGGGTTTTGTCTATGTTTGTATACTGTTCTAGGTAAGAGTGGCAGAATCTGTTGCACATCATGGTTTGCTCATTCATCAGCATCAGCTGATCTTCCAGAGTTTTTGTAACTGTGAACGTTGTGCTGGAATTGCCCTTACAGCCTGCAGAAGGGTTCAAATTTATTACACAAGCTTAAAAAATACATGGCCTACGACAGTCCAAAGAGGAGGGGAAAAAAACCCAAGAGAGCACCAGTCAAATTCTTACAGGTTTTATCCAGGGGAGGCTTATTTTAAATTGGGCTTGTGGCAAATCAATGTATTGGATGCAGCAATGTATTGTGAGAGCTTCAAAGTGTGTCTTGCTTACTTAGGAGCCCCGGTGGCAGCTTGACTGTGGTCCTTTGGCAGAGCAATGCCTGTCTGATAAATGCCTTAAATAAGCAGGGACTGACCCTGCAATTCTTTTATTCGGTAGTACTTGATTAACTACAGGTAGTGTAAGTATAGGTAACGGATTCTAAGCAATGTTTTAACTCCATCATGCAACTGCACTCAAAACTACAGAATAACCAGAGAGAATGTATCCTGATGTACTATTATAACTAATAATGCCATGCAAGGTGAAATGTAAGAAAGTGCTTAATGAAAAGGATATTTTATGCAGTTGCCTTTAACAGAGGCTGGACTTGGTGACTGAGGAGGGCCACCCGGTCCTAAATTTTCAAGAATTGCCCTGCAACAAACCAGCAAATGTGACAGTGATCAAAGGAAAATCAGTAATGAAAAGAATTATGGCAAACTATACATATAGTTATATGAACTCTGCTAGGATAAAGCTGGGAAAGCTGAATACATGCTTACATGAAATTGTATAGTTTTGCCACACCACAAAAAAGGTATATGCTTGCGGTAATTAAATAATATGTTGATGCTACATTTCCAGCAAAAAAAAGTGCTCCACAGTATTCAATTATTGTAAACGATAAATACAATACATATTTGGGCTTGATATACATGAAAAGTTAAAATACGATGTGGTACTCATATAAACAGGTCTTGCAAACTGTGTGTTAAAAATGAAACAAATCCATAGCTATTTAGATAAAAGACTATTTAAATAGAAAAAAAGAAAAAAATTAACATCTATTTGCTGAATTCACACATTAACAGATTAAATGTTTTTCATTCTTTCTATTCCTGTAATTATTCAATGCATATTCTTCTGCCCCCAAATGTTACTGTATAGCAGATACTTTTCACAGTACAACAAAATTAATACCTTATTAAGCTAATTTTTAATCCCTCTTGAAAATACTTTGATTACATTAATATGCATTAAAAATAGAACAAGCTCAGGGCTCCCAAGGGAAAGCACCTATTTTTTTCTGTTTG